AAAAAAAAATTAAAAAAATTTTTTTTTCTTTTTTTTTTTTTTTTTTTTTTTTTTTTTACAGAATAATCCAGTCCAGGTTTAAAGAGTCTACATGTGGTAGTTTTTTTAAACTAGAGTAGATTAAAGATGCTGGAGGTAGTGAAAAATTTGGTGGAATCTTCCTTTAGCCATTTCGTGAATTGGAAGCTACAATCAGAAACCAACTTCAGCTTTGTCTCAAAAGGCCCTTTTAGTAATTCCCATTTACTTTAGTAAATTAAGCTGGTATGACTTAAATGGTGTACTGCAAGTTTAGTCATTGGCAAATGGGAAGACTGGCATGAGAAACTAAATAAATAAATGTGAAACAGGACTTCCTCTGATGCAGATTGGATGGTTTCATCACTTTGAGTGAGCTGCCCTCCTTCCCCAAATTATTTTTCTTAGATAAGCACAGTTTCCTCGCCATGTGGCTGCTGGGGGGTGGGGAGAACGTGAGTTAAGTATTTTAAATTTGTAGTTCTCCATCTCCAGTGAAAAAGCATGTCGTCTCTGAATTAAAGTGATCTTTTTAGTGATGAAACGTTGACGGATTAGCATCTGTTGGCGTGAACCACCTCTGAAACCTCTGCTAGTACGTGCAGACATGGTTTTCATGTCTACAGTAAAAAAAAACTGAATAAAAAAATCAGTATAGTCTGGAAAGAGGAAAAGCAAATTCTGTCTGGATTCTGGTGCTAAACAACCTAGTCTTGATTTTTCTTTTTAATATCAGTAACTTCAGTTCGAGCATGTCGAGGCAAGCCGATAAGAGCCGCAGTTTTAATCATGGTTTGTGTTACGTTTTGAGGTTGATGTTTGTCCTGCATCCTGGATGTACAGGAAGAGCAAAGATGCATTAAAACTTGTCTAAAAACATTTTGACTGTCTTGGTTTTAAGGATTCCACACTTAATAGTTCATGCCTGTGTTATCTGTAGGATGAAACAGAATTTTATAAATTATGACATCCAATCTCAAACTAGAATATAATTGAAAAGTTTGGGTGAATAAGTAAATAAATAAAAATACATTCACATACAGCATTTTTTTTTAAATGATGCTCATAAGTTATATATTAAGAGACCAATTAATCTTAAACTGTTGCAGCCTACAAAGTCATGGAGTAAACTGCAAAAAATATTGCAAAGTTGTAATATACAGTTATATTAATGGAAAGTAGCAGCAAGGAGAGCTGGAGCCTTGAGAGGATTGTAAGGCAAAGCCTGTTCAAGAGTCTGGAGGTGTGGACTGAAGCTACCACAGATTTATCAGCACATAAAATTTGCATTTCATTTGGGAATCAAAGAGTGTGGCAAGGGGCAGAATCCACTCTGCTTGACGTCCATTAGAAATGTTGAGTGATGACGTGGGGAGCCGCGTTTCCTGCTGCTGTTGGTCCACACAACACAAATTTTATGACACCCAATGCTTCCTTTAGCTGACGATATTTGTCGATTTCAGTTCCCAGCAGGACATTTCACTTGCCAAAACTCTACTACCTCCCATGCTGTCATTACATCACACCAGTTTGTTGGACAAACAGAATCTGAGGTTTAGTCAAGAGGGAAGTAAACGTTTCAGAATCAACAATGCAGACAAGCTCAAAGTCACCATAAAAACAGTAATTTATGTAAAAGTAATCCTGTGCAGCATGCAATGCTTTTCAGTAATTGTTTTTCTTAGATCTTCATTGGCTGCAAAACAGTTAACATAAGAAATTAACTTTTTAAATATGTGGAATTAAACGACATAGAAGTTTCACTTCCAAACAGAATTTAAGTTTTAGCTTTTCACAAGCACAAGACTTTTTTTTGTTTTTAAATTGGCAAACAAATTTTGACCAGCTTTGTAGGAAAAGCTTTGCTCCAACAATATCAGAGAAAGGAAAACCAGGCAGCAGGTTTGGTTACATAGATTTTATTGGACAGAACGGTCACCAGGGCTACAAACAAGAAGAAGCAGACAGTGGTGAAGCAAACACCAGGGGGAGACCTCACCTCGCTGCAAACCCTGCAGACTGATCTTTGAATTGAAAATAGTGTGGCAATGATCATCTTAGTGCTTATAAAATATCTGGGGGGAAATGAGTCACGATACCCTAATGAGGACGATGGTCTGACCTCAAATGACCTGACGTGTCTCTGAAAGGAACGCATGCTAGCAGTATAAAACCAACTTGAACAATGTCGATTTCTGGATCAGCTACCAAAACAACAAAGTCGGGAATGATTTCACCCTCTTGGGTGAGAGAAATGCACAGGGGTCCATCCACAAGAACACAAATCTGTCAATTTATTCAGACGGTAAACTTTACTGGAGTATATGTGAATAGAAACCATCTGGACTCGTCTTTATTAGGCGCCTTAACCAAGTAGAAGTGACAATGAGGACCTTAACAGGAAAGAGTAGATAGAAGAATAACACTGAACAATCTGAGCACTCATTCAAACCTTCTGTCCTCTCCCCCTGAGACTCCAGCATCACACGTCTTTTTCTTTCAGATGGTTCACAACTGTACTCGTCACTACTAGATATATACGATACAATGGTTCACATTTTGCATATATCTGTGCATTACACCATATTTACTTTTTGTTTTCTCTTTAAACGATGTAAATTCGATCTCCAACACCTAGTTAAGAAGGGATAATGGGGGAGGAGAGGAGGAGAAGAAGTGATAGGAAGAGAACAAAGACAAAGTAGGGAGAAGAGGGCAGAAGAAAAAATTCTTAACAGGGATAGATGAGGGGAGTTGGGGGGGGGAAGTGGTCGGTTTTGCTGCCTTGCTAGGGTGGAAATTCAGCAGCGGGTTTCGTAGATGCCGGAGCGGCCGATGTACCGCACCCATTTGATGACGTCGTGGTCACTGTAGTTGAGCTTGGACTCAAACACCTTCAAGTAGCGCACCTTCAGGCCAGACGGAGCAAAAGGAACCTGCGGGGGACAGGAAGAGGGACGTTTGAACAAGCCAGAACGTGTGGACCACACAGGCTGCTGTAGTGGGAAGGAAGCCAGACAGCTGGGGATTTGCATCAGATACTGAAAACATTTGATCCACTTCATCTGTCTGGTCGGCTACTGTGCATTTGTTATTCTACGACGAGTTTGTTGAGCAGGGTTTTATTTTTATTTTTTTTAAACTGCAGCTGTGAAACAAGATCGTATCTTTGAGGAGACAGAGATCCAACCATCATCACCTCAAAGTTCATAGAGATAGGAGGCCTGGCCCATTTCTTCTTGTCGTTGGTGGGCAGCAGCTCGATCTCAGCACTGATCTGAGATTCCTTCATTCCAGCCATTCGTTTGATCCTGCAGAGCACACACAAAAAAACAATGCGCTTAAAAACATAACTAGGACTAATTTGATGCCATGTTCACAACAAAAAGTGTTGCTTCATGGAAGCAAACAAGTCGAGGGTGTGCAAGGCTCACACAAAAGAGGTTAGGCGGTTAATTATTAAGCTGCTGCGACTCACTTCCAAACGATGGCGTTCTCACTGGCCTTGTATTTGGCTTTTCCCTTCATGCAAATCACCTGGACACCGCTGGTGTTGAGTGGTGTTGGGATTCGCACCTGAGAAATAAACACACATTGAAAAAAGGAAAGTGAGGCATACAAAGCATTTAAAAATCTAATTTAGATTTTACAACGTAGATGGAACGAGATGAACCAAGAAATAAACTGGTGATTGGATGATTTCTAGCCTGATCAGGCAGTTGAAACTCAAATCTTACATTAGTGCCAATCACACCACCCTTTTGCATGGATGTTTGTATTCATACAAGACTCAATGTTACCCATTTTGAAAATCAGACAAAGCACAGGGGCATTTGAAGTTTGTTGGTTTTTCAGAGGGCGAACTTGCATTATGCCCTTATCAATATATTATTTATCACAATGACTTTTTTGGTACAGTTTATCATCCAGCAAAATTTGCTGCTATTGTGACGGGAGTACAAAATCTCACCTCAATCTTTTGAGCCAGCAGTGAGGGTTTAAAGTTCGACTTAATGACCACTTTAACTTCCAGTTTAGTGCGCCCCACCTCCCTGACCAGAGGAATAACTCGGAATGGAAGGATGATATCTTTAGTGGTGCGATATCTGCAATGAGGCAAAAGGAAAAAAAAAAAAAAAACAAAACAAAAGCCGTTATGCCAACATAATTCCCGACTTGTGACTTTGCCATGTTTTGCATTTAGAAAATCTTGAAAGGCAATTTTAAAGCTGAAACAAAAACAAAAAAAACAAAAAATCTAACTGACCTCATGAGCTCATACTCTCCATCCGGAGGGATGAAGCTGATGCTGCGCTCTGAGTCAAACTTACTGAGACGCACACACTGGTGGAAAGTGCAGTCGTCGATGGCTATAGACTGCTTCCCACTGAGAAAAATAATAATAATGAAGGTTAGAAAGAGAGTAATGAATAAACTTGTACTCTTCCTATATGTCCAGCGGTTGAAGACGCAACACATGAGCACATACAGAAAAATAGCTGGTAGCCACACACACTAAGGCAATATTCTTAAATTATAGTTTGGGCAAAAGCGTACAAAAACAAGCAGGGAGGTCAGCTACACAGATGCTCAATACAAAAAACAGAGAAAGAAAAAAATGTTTCAATGGCAATGCAACAGATAACAGAGGATGAGATCTTAACATGGTTGAAGGTTCAGACAGAACAGGAATGAATAAGGATGTTGGGGGAGAGGAATTGGTAGCACAGTACCTTCCTCCCCCTAAATCACTGAAGAACAGCACATAGAAAAGAAAGAAAGGGAAAAAAGACAGGAGAGATCCATGCAAAGGAAAGCAAAAAAAGAAAAAAAAAACCTGTAAAGCCTGACTGTAATCAGCACTGATAACAAGCAGAACAAACTGAAAGTTGCTTTTTGAATCTCGGTACAAAACTTCCTTTTTTTTTTTTTTTTTTAAAGCTTCCAAAGACAGAACCAGTCAATGAAAGCACAGAAGCAAATAAGTGATTTATATCATAACCAGTAGTAATTTAGTCAGTGTTACGTTAGGTGCTGCATCTCTTACCTCTTTCCTGCATCGTCAGACGCTCCTCCCTTTCCCTGTTTGTCGATGACAATCTTGTCATTCATGCCAAACTTGCACTCGGGCATTCCGCTCAGGTAGCTCTTCATCACGACTCGGCCCGACACGTGCGCGCTCAGGACCTGACCTGAATCGTGATCAGTGGCAGATAACCGGGCCAAGGGTTTTATTCCGTGTTCTTTTGGAGGATTTTCTGAAAGCTTTCTCTGAATCTATCGGAAAAGAGCTTTAATATGCTACAGGAACACTGTGGTTTTGTTGGACCTGCATTTTATGTTTTAGTACTTAAGAAACCAATCGGGAAAATAAAACAAAGGAGGAGTCGAATAAAGTCATTAGGTCTGACTAACTGAATGTTCCTAAAATCCATTGTTGTCACTGATCTCCATCTACAGGGCAAGAACACAAACAGACCTTGAGGTGACATGAGTAGATTGACGCTTTCCAGTACGTCCAGGAAAAGCTCGTTGCGGCGATATTTGATGCCCTCACGCCGCCAGCCGATCTGCCCCGTCACCTGGCTGGTGATCTGAGACTGCTCCTCCTTTGTCTGAGAGACAGAGGGGAACGACATCATAGCAACCAACAAAAGACCCGACAAGCAGCAACTTCAAATTTCAAAGAGACAAGTAGGAAATGCAGCACTATATGGAAAATGATGCTTTATGAAAAAGGAAATAAAAAGGTTAAAAAAAATTTTAAGTAAGCATACTACCTGATGCTGAAGTTTCCAAAATCCAGTTGTGAAAAATGGCAGGAAAAAGAAAGAGAGAGATATTCAAGTAAAAAACACAATTCACTTTATTTATTTTTTTATCTCCATCATCTACACTAAATCAAAATGACTGCAACAAGATCGGGCAATGCACAAAGTATATAGACCTGGCGCAATCAGATCAAGCAAGGTCTAAAACTAAACATTTTCCACTAGATCAGATCAGTTTACTTTTCATTTCAATCAAATGGACAGAAGTTTTAACAGGCTACCACAAACTGAACTAAATCTCTTCATCCATTTATTGAATCAGAGTTGAGGCATTAAAGTTTTAATCAGAGAGTAAACATGTCTTGCTTACTTGTCCCTTGATGCCCTGCTGTGTGATGAAGGTCTTCAGGGCACCGGTCTCCGAGTTCTGGGGGTATCCGAAGTCCAGGATCTCTGCACAAACAAACACGGAGAGACAACTTTCAGTAAAAGATAAGCGTTGCAACAGAGGGGACTTGAAACGTGCTGCGTTGAAACAAACGAGCGCTGATAATACCGTCCAGCAGCTCGTAGATGAGCACGAAGTTGTTCTTGATGTTCTCCTCGCTGATCTTGCCGAAGTAGGCCGTCATCACGTCACACATTTTGTAAAGGAACTCGAACACCATGGCGGCGTTGACGTTCTGCTTGGTGACGGCAGCCAGCCATATGTTGGAGCGCTTGACGTGGAAGAAGCTGGTGCGGGCGATGTTGGTCACCGGGGACCGAACCTGCTGCCGGGCATGAATCACGTTCACGCGGAACGCGTCCACCGCATTACGCCTGCAACGCAACGAACGGGAGGAAACTTTTAGGTTACGGTGTGGGGAAAAAAAAAAAAAAAAAAAAAAGTATATATAAAATCAAGCGCTTTTCTGCATCCTGTGAAGTCATTTGCGAAAACGTTTTCAATTTTAGAATCGTATATTCATTGTTAGATATGGGACGTAGATGTCAGTAACAACTTTCATTGACAAAGCTACAATGGGAAACCCTCCAACATGGTTAACATGAATCCAAAGAAAACAGACTGCTGCAAGGAAACAGCAAGGAAGTCATGGTCGAGACAGTTTCCTGGCCTGAAACACTTCTAGTCAAACTGTAAATCTGTCAATATCCAAATAAATAACTTGAGAGTTAAGCATGTTCAAAATAGAGAAAGAAATCCTGCATCATTATTGCCTTATGTGCAGGGGACGGTGCAGTTGGGATTTCTAAGTAAGCATGACTGTGATAAGTTTTACCAAGCTCAGCAATTCTTTTTTAGAGAGCCTTGCAGAATTAGTCATACCGCTTTAAGCTTCTCATTTTGTCACATTACAAACTTAAATGTATTTTATTAAAATTTAAAGTGACAGACCAACACAAAGTGCCAAAATTGAGAGAAGGTAAAGTTTCATGGTTTTCAAAATATCTTCCAAACAAAAATCCATGGTTCCTTTAAATTCATACACTCTACAGTCAGTAATTTGAACCCATATTTCACTACAATTACCGTTGGAAGTATTTTGGCCTATATCTCAGCCAGACTGGCAATTGTCAGTTTATTCCCCCCCACTGGATTAACTAGATAACTCAAACTCACTCAGATTGAGTGGAGAACACTTATGAACATTCTACAAATTCTTAAACCACATCTAGCCCTGATAAAAGTGTGCTCAGGATGTGACACAGGCATCAGTTTCTGCCTCACAATTTACATACAGACCAAACTGCTTAATTTTGGTTTCATCTGATTGGTGTACCTTCTTCCACATGTCTGCCATCTCTCCGAGTATTTGTAGAAAACTACAAACAGGGTGTTTTGGGTCCGTTTCTACAATGTCTCTTCGTTAGTTATCCGTAGAAGGCTGATTTTTAAATACAAAAACCTCCATGACCCATTCCTGTTTTCCACTTTACTACTTTGTCCCTCACATGTCTGCCGTTAGTCAACTAATGCTCTCCAAACTTCTCACGTCATGACAGAACAGCATGTTTTATGCTGAGGAGAAATTAAATGCAGCTGGACTCGGTTTAATTGGGTGACTTTTGACTGCGCTGGATTTTTATTAGGGGCTCTAGGAGTGGATAAGTACATGTGCATGACATTTCATGTAATTATGCAACAGAAATTCTTAGACAGTGCATCTTTTTTTTTTTTACTAATTATATGTAACTTTATGTTGGTCAAGCACATACAACCTTAATACAATACAATGAAGCTTGCCGATGCAACATAAAAATGGGGAATAAAAGCTCGAGCAGTGTGAATACTTCGGTAAGGCACTGCAGCTTACAATATGTAGAAAGATCCGTCTAAAAAGCCAAGACATTATAAAGTAAGAAAGCACATCGTCTCTAAACACTGCTCCACTAATGTGAAGCAGAATTGAAGTAAAAAAAATTTTTTTAAATGTTTACCCCCAAATAACAGCTCTAGACAATACTGCTTAGTTAAAATGACACAGCAAATTTAATCTTACAAAGTATGCAACTAATCTCCTCAATTTCTGAGAGAAGACAGGGCAGAGCAGAAAGACAGCAGCGCTACATGAACCTCCGTTTCTCATGCTCAGACTACATGCTACGGCGCTGGCTCAGCTGATCAACAATTACACTCCATTTCAGTTGATTTGGAGCTTTATTTCGGTAAAAGGTGGTCTAATCATCACCAGTGTATGAAGAGGTGACTCATGCTTACGGGTATTTAACCATCGCATAAATGCTCATGCAAGTCAGGGGTCATGGGGGCGAGGGGTCATTGATCGGTGGCCATGAGAGGGAGGAGTCATGCTTTAAAAGCTACAGGAACTCTTACCTATTTCTACATGGGGAGGGGGGCCAAGATGAACAGATGGAGGAAAATGGTTAAACAATGGTTAACAGAGGATAGATAGTAGAAAAACAAAGATGATAGAAGAGGACAGACAAAAATGTACAAGACATTTTCGTGCATCATGTAGACAGAGTGAGGGAAAAAAAAAAACAAAACAAAAAAAACGGTATATTGTTCATGATGCCTTATTTGGACGAGAACTTCTCCACTCTTTGGTTTATGCTTTAATACGCAGGATAATTATGTGTGTATTACGGAACAGAACACTGCTGCCGTGTTATTTCTAGCAGACACGTCCTGTTACCAAGCTCTTTTGCTCAACATAATATGAATTATAGTAGTTTGAGCCATTTAGTGGCATTTTCATGCACAGACCTTTTGACCACACCTGAAGCAAACTAGTTACAAACAAACCTCCATAAAGAAAAATAGTAATTTTACACATTTCTAAATGACACTGTAAGCAACTTCGAACATCCAATGGCATTTAAGTCGCACTCAACACCTCTGCAGTGGATTATTTGTCACTATACATTTTTTTAGGGTTTCAGCACCACAACTGCTAAAAGCCAAATTAGTGGCTTTTACAGTAAGAGCTATGAATACTTGCATTTTTCTACTTTAATAAAGTGAAAAATGAAAGAAGAAATGTACAAAGCATATTCTCTTCAGACAAATGAAGTGTCAAATCTGAAACTGAATACATTTTTTGGGGGGGAAAAAAAAAAAATCAAAACAAAAAAAATATAACTTGATATGACAGAGAGAACTGTGTTTAGAAGATTTGAATAATACCTGGGAAATGAAATGCCCACAGAGTTGCATGCTGATGGAGAATAAAATTATTTATTTGAGTCGTATTGTTGCATCGATAATTTTAAGTTTTCCCCACGCCAAGTTAGCTTGGAAATTAGTTTCCCACACAACAGCGCATAATCTTGTAATATGAGGGTGTGATTTGACAAACATGAGTGAACCAGATCCTTACATTAGACAATTGGAGAGGAAAACAAATTGTGACCATGTGGTTCTTCCCTACCATTTATAACTTTATTTTACATAAAGTAAATCATTCATCTGGAATGACAGGTTTACAAGAATACTTGTAAATTTAATTTTATAGTTAAACTTTGTCATTTGGAATTCCGTCATTTTAAATGTTCTCCTGGCTTAGCTTTGTTTCTTCTGCTTCCCAACGACACAACAAACATTAATTTACACAGGTTCAGCGACATAATCCTCTGATCTGGGATAAACTCAAATCACTCCACCTGCATATTAGGTTCTCACTGACGTTTCCCAGAAATCTAGAAGACTTTCCACAGGTTTGCTGCAGTAAAACATACCCTATATCATCTCGGTAAACGCGGGAGATGAGGACCTCCCCCTTGTGGTTGTAGATGAACAATCCTCCAATCATCGTGGCTGCTTCTCACTCCCAGCGTGCCATTGTGAAACCAAACGCCTCCTGAGAAGAGACAGACATTAGGGAAGGAAACTGGCTAAGGGAAAAAAGAAAAACAAAAAAAGGGATGATGGAGAAGTGAAAGCAGTGAAAAGTGTGAGAGCGGCCAACGGTACAGAGAAGCATTTGTCCCTCATATCCGCTTTTTCCGTCTTCCTCTCCCTCAAGTACACATCATCCCATTGACAGCCGAATGCATCCTGCAGCTGCACCACTCCATCGGTGACTTTGTTTAAACATCCATTTGCATACACTTGATTCCAATATTTGCCATCCTTGGTTTCCCAAGGAAACCAAGGAAATTCCTTGGTTTCCTTGGGAAAGGAAGATTAACAGCAGATTAGCAGCCACCAGTTTGAGGCAGGTAGCTGGCTTTAAATCTACTCTCATTTAACACTTCCTGCAAAATGCTCCCTAATCTCATGACACCAAAACTAAAATCAAATTTATGATTTATAACCCAAAGACATTATTTTCCATTCATAGCCTGTGCTGCTGTTGTACAACCGATTTGTTTAACTTGGACCTCCAGACATAGCAATCTGTCCCACTTAAAAAAATATATAATTTTCTGGCATAGCGATGAAGGACACCCTTGAAAATTTCTAATCAGAAACTTGACATTAAAAACAAGACGTTACTTGGAAAACACCATGGAAAAGACAAACATCAGATTTCTAACAACAGAGCGAATAATTATCGCCAAACCAAAGGGTTTTAGCGACGCTATCTCGCCGAAGTCAAGATGTCTGCTCATTCAGGCCATTCCGTAACGTTTGTGATTTTCTTCATTCTACTCATTTGCTTCTCTTAGTTAAGTAAAATCCCAGCGTCATACACTTTATGACATTAACATTTTTTAATACAAGTCGACATCAACGAAGGCCTGACCTTCAGTGAGATTTAAGTGATGGAGAACGAACCGAGAGGTAGCAGGCTAATTTAGCTAGCCATAGCAGGCTAGCTGTCGACACCGCCGAGCCAATCGGATTTTTAACGGGTTTCCGGTGAGGGGAACGGAGAAAATGACACGACAGGTTGTCATAAATCATTAAAAGTTATGAATACGCTTGTTACTTATGTTACTGCAGAATTGAGAACACATATTATGCATAAATTAGCCACATAACTGGTTAGCTGCATTTTTCTACTAAATGAAAGAAATTGCCTCCTTTCCGTTATCAGAGCTAACCGCTACTAGTAGCTGGACGTTAGCTGCTAACGTTGCTAATATTAGCATTGCTAAATTAAAACACTCGCCGGTTATCCCTGACGATAACTAGGCTAAGTTACTTATTTTCTCCGAAAGAACGTAACGTTTGTAAACTTACCCCGATTATTCCACAAAAGCCGCCACTGCTTTACTCCCAGTTCAGCTTCGAGTGTCCAGCGTATTCCCAGCTCATTCACCCGCAAGCTTCGCTTCTTTCCCTGCTGCTCTGGGAGCTGTCAGCTGACCCGCCGTCTTTACGCACTGTCGTTCCGCTGTGACAGGAAAAGGCGCGGCTGGAGCGCTGCATAAACCGCACCCAGGCCAAGTTATAAGCAAATGGGCGACTAATTATTTATTTTTATTACTTAGATATTAGCTAAGGAGCTTGTAGTTATGCAGAATGGCAAAGCGTCCTGTTCTTACAAAAGGACATAACTTGTTAAATATTAATGAGTTGCAATTCCTCAGGCGAACCAGAGGGGGGCGTACAGGCTATTAACATTTAGTATCGAGAACAAGGAATGTCCCTTTTATGCCAAGATATTAATTATTCGGATATCCCCGCACTAAACAGGTGGTAGTATATTTTTCTAGGGTTCCTACGGTTTTATTGATATTTTTGCAGTTTTCGATTTATCTCTTGGCATTTTTAATGTATAACATTCCCATCAGTTTTGTGGTACGTTCATGACGATTTCTACATTGAAACTGGGGAAACGACATGATTTAAGGGATTTAATAAATGCTGGACAGGAGGATGGACGAACAGAATAGAAATGGATGGAGAGGGACATATTTAAAATAACCGGGTGGTTAGATAATACATAAAAATATGGGTGTACATATGGGCAAATTACCAAAATAATGAAAGTAATGATACATGTGAAAAAATGATTTACGGCTTGCACAGAAATGGATGGATAAAACAGATGAATGAAGGGGAAGGCAACGGAAATGGATGATTGAATGCAAAACAATCTGAAAGTACATTAATTTTTATTCCATGCCTTTTCTGTTTTCAGTTCTTCAGACCCTTGACCTAAGTCAAACTTGTTTTTAAGATTCTGTAACTGCACAGGCAGGCATCCAGTTGCATAGGTTAAAAAAAAAGTCAGCTTTTTAGGAAAAGAAGCAACATCAGCTTAACGCACAAGTTTTTCCACCTGAATACACAGAAAACAGCTTGTCCAGGGTCATTCAGTTCTAAGGCCAATTTAACTTCACACATAATGCTCTTTTTATACCTTTTCCCCCATCTCCCACACACACACACACACACACACACACATCTGCAAACCAGACTGCCCAACCTTCACATTCCTACTTTGGAGTCTGGAATCCACTGCTTTCAAATGCAAATAAGACCTGAGGTAGTATGGGAAAAATAAGCCCAAGAAAGTTTTTTTTTTTTTTCATATTTTTTACCCTTACACACTGAATCACAAACACACAAAAAAGACCCCACAAAAAACATTTATGTCATAAAACTATATTTATAAATAAAAAGACATTTTTTTCCTTGATAAAAGAGTAGTGTGAAAGGCATGGTAAGAAATTTTCCACTATACATCATCATGAGACTGAAAGTTCTCTGGTTAGCTGATAAAATGCAACACTGTAGTGTAAAAAGGACTCTTAATGTTCAATGCTGCTGTTAAGCTTCAAAACGAACCTAGTTGTGACCAACTATGTATATAACAAAACAAATGCAACATTACAGTAAAAAACGACTGTAATCCTACATACAAAATTTCTCATTTCTTTCTATCCTTCTCTCTTATGCCAAGCAAACACTTTAAACATTTGAATCAAGGTTAAGGTTTAGTGTTCTTCAGATTTATTTCCTTGTTAGAGGTCAGAGAGTGGGGACTAAAAGAACAGAGGAAAAGTGCTTCATCCTCTTATTTTTTTTCCTGACAAGGATAGGAGAGAGGGGGAGGGCTGAAGAGTTAGATAAGGAAAGCAGAGCGGAGGTGGGAATAGCAGCACAAATGAAAACCATCCATGTGGATTTGAGCCGAGTCATCTTCCCAGTTGAGCGTTTCCACCAGATCCCTCCCACTCCGGCTTTGTCCTTAAACAAACTTTTCCCAACCCTGAGAAAGACACTTTGGTTCCATCTTGAGCTTAGGGTGTTTCTTCACTGAAGAAAGTATGGGCATTACTATTTGGGAGAAAAGCACAAGTGATGAAGACATTTTTTTTTTAAATCAGCATGCAAAACTGGGTTGGTTTTATGCTTTTGGAAAAAAAAAAGTTATCAAGACTTTGAGTTACAGCTTTTGCGATCTCTCCTGCCTCCGTTGACATGTCATGATGTCCTCCTCACCCGAAAGGAGATGGGAACATCTGACCTGCTACTTTACTACCAACTCCAACACATTGTCACATCACGTCAACAAAGAACTCTCCGGCGTTGCCCACCGCCATACGCAGGGACTGGCGAGAAGCGGTCAGCTCGGGAGGCACCGACGTCAGCTCTCTGCCTTGCGGAGCACCGGGTGCGGCGGTGGACAGATGAGTGGGCTGGGGAGGCAGCCCGGGGGGGCCGTAGACGAGGCCGGGCCCGTAGGCTATAGAGTGCGAGTTGGCACTGCGGTGGCTGACAGAGCTACGGATGCTGCGCTCGCTAGGGGGAGCTACTGAGCGCTCGCTAGGAGCTCTGTGGCTCCTGATCTCGGACTCGCTGCCGCTGCCGCCGGATTTCCGACCCTCGTGCTTGCTGCAGTTAGAGCCGCTGCTTCCTGTAAAGAAAAGAATCGGAAAAGCAGACAATTAAAGTATGAGTTTTGATTTTGCTTCTATATACAATTAAGAGCAAATTATTTTGTGGAAACTCTTTAGACTGCTGAAGTTAATGTAGCCATTCATACACTGAAAAAAGCTCTGGCAAAGCTGTTTTTAAAATAAAGTATTCTTCAATTCCATTAAAATTCATTGACAATAAGAATTTTAGTACATTTATTCAGTGGGGCTGAAAAAAAGTCGTTAGAAAAAAAAAAAACAATGGATAATTATCAGAACTGAAAACAATGAAGCCCTTTTTAAACAAATATGTACCTTTTTAAGATAAAAATTTATAAAAACTTGGATAAGGACTGGTTTATCGTTCTATCACGCAGAGTGAACAGCAGAGTAAGGAAGGTTAAAGAATGTCTTCAATGGCCACTGCAGCAAATAGTGGCATCTAAGTGACTTCCACAATGTCTGTGTATTTTTTTTACCCCACTGATAATAAACTTATCATTCCCTTTAATGTTTTTTTTTTATTTCAGTGGCCTTTTAATTGTTTCACAAGCATTAGCTTGAACATTATATTGTGTTTCTACTTTATAATGTATCAAAGTTTGATTAAATAAATACACTCAAATAAAAAGTCAAATGCATTTTTCCTCAGTGCCAGATTGAACTCCTGTAATAACAATAATACAAGTCTTTATCATACATATATTTTTCAAACTTTCGCTGCATTGATTAAAATTTAACTCAACGCAACACAACATTCACGAAAACAAATGCTGAGAGCAAATAAGCATCCGTTTAAAACGTCATAAAAACACACTCGGGCTGTTTAAGGATTGCTTCATGTTGCACATTTTAAATCACGAAACACAACACAACTCCTGCCCCCACAAAACAAACAGCACAACTAAGATGTTGTCTCTGTGAGTCCAGCTGTTGTTAGTCAGGAAATATCTGAAAATCGCAAGCAGACGCCTCATAAAACCACAAAGTCTGCTTTTCCTCCCCCAGACATTAAATACACGCAAAATTCCTGGACGTAAATATGGCCAGTTTTTTTTTTTTTTTAATAGGTTTTCCCTCATTTCTCTCTAAGCTCAGTTGTGTCTCATAAAGCCAATCGAAACCAGCGATCAAACCTGTAAATGTATTCATAGTATGAATACAAAAACTATTTGACTTCTGTCAGTGGAGCAGGGAGACAACAGGAAACTAGTTCTCAGAACTGAAATTAGCCACCTCTGTGTCAGACACAGCAGGAGATGTCTAAAACTTAACAAAAATTAATAAATTATATATATATATATATATATATATATATATATATATATATATATATATATTTTTTTTTTTTTTTTTTTTTTTTTTTTTTTTTTTTTTGAATGTGGACATGAATTTCACATCAGATTGTCAAACGAGTAAGAATAAGAAACAGCTTCTCCACCCTGGAGGAATAAGTAGAGGACTAACAAGCAGGATGTTTGCGTACTAGGGGTCTGCAACCTACAGCCCCAGAGCCAAAAGTGGCTCATTAATGTTAACCTCCTCTCGGAGGAAATATGTTCTCGTGAAACTTGTTGGTTACGTGTTTTTTTTGGTCTGTCTGTGTGCAAAGTTGGAGATGTTTTAGATTGTACAAGTACAATCTAAAATGTCTAACAGTAGATGAAAAAAATAAGATGTTTTGTTGCCAAAAAGGGCTTTGAGGATTTCAAACACTGCTGATCTAGACTACAGACTAATTTGGAAATAGTATTAACAAGGTGCATATGCTGGTCTATGATATGACTGTAAGCTTACATCTGTTTTTAATGCTGAACTGTACACAAACTGGCTGTGTGATTTGTGTGCTGATGGGAACCAGGAGGGATTTTAAACTCAACTCACCACTGTGCTGGCTCCCAGCGCTCCCAGCTGCTGGCCCCCCGTGGAAAGGCTGCGGCAGGTCGTAAGGATGCGGGATGGGAAACTGATAAGGCAGAGGCATTGGCCAGGGAGCAGCACCTGGGTGAGGCAGAGGAGGGACTGTGTCCTGGTCCGAAGCGCCTCCGCTGGAACCGTCGTGGTCATGTAGTGAGAGGTGGGCCATATCTGAAAAACAGAAAAAAACACAATTTGATTTAGACTCCCACTGTGTGCGTTGAGTTTTTCTATCCGTATATAACATGTTGCTTTGTAGATGTTGGTTAGTTAGCACTCGTCTCCCTTGTTTAAGCAAATATTACGACACACACACAAAAAGATCCGCTTACTGCCACAAAGGTCCCCGAAGACATAGTAGCACTGTTCAGAAAAGGTTATCTTGTTGACAGTGTGCCGTATGTAGCCGGCTTTCAGCAGGTTGCTGGCGTACTTCCGCGCTTCCCGACGATCTGAGAACCCTTCCACATGATGGAAGAGCCAGTCCACCACATCGGACCCTGAGATGGAGAGGGCCAAACACATTTTAGAAAACACAAAGCTCACATTTCTAACGAACCTAATCTTCACCGACTAGGCCACACGACATTCTTTACATGTCCACACTAGATTGCTGTGA